TGATGATGATGATGATGATGATGATGATGATGATGATGATGATGATGATGATGGGGGGTGTCTGTGGTGCAGTGGTTAGGGGAGCTGAACCACAGGTTGTAGTCACCTCCACCTGTAGATGTTCAGCAGTGTTGATCAGTGTTCAGTATCAGACTCATGTTTTCACTGGAACAATGAGTCGTGGAGGAACCGATCAGCGTCAATAATCTGCCTCCATGTCTGGGTGCAGAACATTACACAACCCTGCAGTTCGTCTAAATCTGTCCTGTTCTGTCCCACAGGACCCACAGCTGTTAGGCTTCGTCCTTCATGTTGCAGAGCAGCTAGCTGTGGCTCCTCTCTGACAGAACGCAGCCGAACGTCTGGAGGCTGAGTTTGTTCAGAGATTACACAGAGCTGCTCTCAGGCACTTCACAGCACTCTGTAGTCTCCCACACATTTCTGGATTACGTGGTGGACGTGCTAATCTGACGTGGTTTACAGCCCCGTCACCTGATCACGGCTGAGTCCTCGTCGCAAAGAGACACAATCTGCTGAAACGGAGACACACAATAGATCTGAGGAGGGAGACAGGTGCTGCATGCATGATGGATGAGCCGAGCCGAGTGGGCCAATAAATGTTACACTTGGTTCTGGATCCGACAGTCAGAGCCACATATGGTTCTGAAGTGATGAAGCCTCAGAAACACRACAGACTTTAACTACAAACCTGACATGACTGATCGGGACGTCAAACACCTGATTCTTTTATTTCTCTTCATTTCTCATGTTTCTTTTGATTTTCCAATCAATATATTAGAGCAGGGCTCTGCAACCTGTGGCTCTGGGGCCACATGTGGCTCTTTGGYCTCTCTGCAGTGGCTTTTTGAAAATGTGACCAAACATAACAGAATAATTTTTTGTCTGTTTTTATACCCACAACAGAATTCAGTTTGTATGAAAATATGTGATCAATACAAAAAGTAAAACATGTTGATTACTTCATCCTGGCCTGTTGTGCTCTTAAATAATCCAACTTCTTTTCATGATATTTCTCTCAAATCCATCAGAATTAAGTTTGAATAATTTAAAGACTGAAAAATTAGAAAAAAAATATGCCTGAATAGTTCCGTAGTACAAGTTTTATGAAATTCAGTATAAATTATATACAGTATTTTTCTTATTTACATGAATATAATA